TCGCTCTCATGTATGAAGGAATGAAAGATTTTTTGGTGGGAAAGCGATTTCCGAACCGGCGCAAGCTAGAAGACTGAGACTTCACTAAGATCTTCCTTGCCCACACCCAACCCAATGATTTTAAATTCATTCTTCACGCATCTCTGGGTCCCACGTACGTATACGTCAAAGCTTAAGTTAGCATCATGCCAAATCGAGAATTAATCTGTTCGAGGAATTTTAGAGAGCTGTAATTTTGCAGCGTTGCTTGTCGTCTGCTGATATGCCCATTTAAAATAATAAATTGAGCTTTCTAGCCTTCCTGCATCTCGCGTGCGGACATGCGAAATTTGACGTAGACATTTTCGGAGCTGGAGCAGCTAGGAAGCTGAAACTTTTTGAGTATGGCCGACGATGGCGTTTGGCCAGATGGATGTGAATACAGCTTTCATGTTCACACGTGCGCGTCACGTACGAGCACGTAAAATTTGATGTAACTCTGCAGCCGACGAGATCTGTGTTTAAGCAGGGATATCTAAAAACAACATTCACTTTTCCCCCCACTTACAGTCGCGTGGAATTCGATGTAACTCCGCAACCAAGACAGCCAGGGTGCTCGGATTTCCTGAAAATGGCCCACGATTATATTTGGGCAGACGCGCGCAGAAAAAACTTTTACCTCCCAGCACATGCAAGCACGTGAGATTTGACGCAACCTTGCAACTAGGGCAGTCACACTGCCGAAGTTTTCAGCGATTGACTCCCAAGCATGTTTAGACAAGTGCACACAAAAAAAGATTCCCGATCCCCCTCATGTACAAACTTATAAAATTTGACTTAACTACGCAACGAAAGCAGCTGAAGTGCTTAAATTTTCTGAGGGTGGCCTAGGACCTTGTTTAGGCAGGCACACATTAAAACCATCATTCACATTTCTTTTGCATACCTACATGTGGAATTTGATTAACTCCGCAATCGAAGCATCTAGAGTGCTGAATTTTCTCGAGCATGGGTTGGTAGTCATTGTAATAATTTCCGACAGTCGTGGTGGCCAGTCTCAATTCTCTAACTGGAAGCGTCCACTGGAAAGACAATATCGTTGGCAACCTGTGGGGAACTGTGCAAAAAACGCATCTTTGCGTCGATAGTCGGTGCGCTGGGCAGTTATGTGAGGTTGCTGACACCACTGCTACATCCACCTGTTGGTGATTGTGACATGCACTGAAATCTCTTATTCTCTTTTTTTTTTTATTTTTAATAAAAGTAAGTGGACATAGCCATCAGGCCTGTTTCTTTTTTTGAC